GCCCCCTGCTACCCCCAACTCCCAATTTTCAACCCCCCACAAAAAAAAATCCAAAAATGATCAGGTCTCTTTCAGGCCTTTGAAACGTCCAAAGCTAAGTTTGAGCGACTTTTATTTGTTTCGTTTTTTGCCTCTAGCACCGCCTCCACTGAATCGATTTTCAAAAACTAAAAAGCTTTTTCGTCCTTGGCATAGTAGTAACCTTGTGTGAGAATTTCATCCAAATCCGAGCGAACTTCATTTCAAAAGATCAATTTTGGTTTCCTTTGAATCTTATTTTCATTCTGCCTTTTTGATCACCATCTACTATTTAGAATAAATTTGATAAAGTATGGAAAGACCCCTGTTACAAGAAACCCGGTACAAATCATTGCCACCAAAAATTGACATAATGAGTTTTAAATCATAATAAGTTTGATTCATCAAACAATACTGTGTAGGTGTCAAATATTGGACACCATTAATATTGGAATAATACGCATTACGTGATGGATTGCCAACATAGCTCCAGCATTCATCAAGCGCTCCTTTAATTCAGCCTCCTCCATTATTGTTTCTACACGTCTGAACCAAAGCTAACCGAGAACTGGATAGTCCTTCGCTTGCATTTCATACCACATACCACGGAGTAGTAGGAGTGGGACGCTATTGCTATACACACCATTCGACCTAACTAGTGGGAACACTACTCAGACAAGTTCCGACTAGTACGGAAGAGTACGCATTACACACCGTTACACTTTTGCGTTATCTGTAAGAATATTTCTGTGAAACACAACTTGAAGGTGCTTTGTAATTAGGACAGTGTAAAACGGCGCCATTGGTCATTAGTTATAGAGCCAAATTAACACCTTTCATACACATCTTCAAGTCCATATTAGTGGGGTCTTCATATCCATAAGACGACGTTCGAGTTTCTTGGAATGAGGGGCCACATCAAGACATCGATCATTTCATTTTGTCGATGCCTAGACGTATACATGAGTGTATTAAGCTGCGGGGTAGTCCAACACATTATTATTTTTTTCTTATTACTTGACAATGAAATTTCGTGAGAATGTTACCATTTTATTTTTGATGTAAGAGTACCTCATTGCCAAAAAATCAAGTCGAAGAAATTATTTTTTTCTGGGTGAAACACCTCCAATGTCACAGTATATGAGCGTTGCTTTCCCAATCATAGCCCACGATTAGCGGACAGACAGGTCGACTGAAATACAGACTGACGGAAATGCGTAATATGATTTTTCGTAATCATAGAACGTCAAAAACGTAACATATTTTAGATTTATTTCGAGATCACAATTCTTCCTCGTCAGTTAGCCTGGGACGTAAATAGGTAAGTATTTTATGATCCGAATCCTGTAGCGTTGGTTCGTAATAAGAGCAAAATTCAGACCAATTAATCTCTTTCGATTGTTCCAAATGCTCGATATTGTCAGAACAAGTGAATCATCCTACCGGCCAGTTCTCGGTGTATACAGCTCGGCCAAGAAAGGATGGGAATAAAAAGGGTAGTAGTTCTAGATCGGGTAGCGACGTCATCTAGGGAGGCTTGGAAGGAAAAAGTCCGTTGTCATGTTGACGAAAACAGCCAGATCATCGACCCCTTTGCTAGGCTTCCGCTATTTTCTGAAACAGAATATCCGCAAAATTGCTTCCAAAATGGTATCAGACTTATTTCACAGATAAGGTGGCATTTCTCGTCAAGTAGAACATGGATACGGTTCAGCGAAGCAAGGTATCCAAAATAGAGTTATCCTATAAATCAATAATATTAGCAGCAGGTAATAGTATTGTTAATGCACCACAAGGGTAATACTAGATTGTCCCTTATCTTCTGAGTCTCTCCACCAGCAGCAACAATAACTGATGCCTGAGTGGAGGGTCATTCTCAATCCAGGAATAGTATCGCAGTTCATTAACCAACCACAGGAGCTACTATACCGCTTGGTAAGTCTGGCTGCCTGTCAGCTTAGCAAGCATCTTCATAATCCAGGACAAGCATACATGTTTGCGCTTCGCAGTTATTCAGCAACTCAGAAAAGCGAGAATTCCTGTGGAACAGTTAGCTTTCTACGATTAACGTAAGACAAACTCTATTTAGTCCCATCGACAGCTTTGTGTGGATGATGAGCCGGATATGAGTAGTAGTCTTGGCTGATTACCCTCGCAGAAAGCCCCTTGATACTCTTTTAAGACATTCGATTTCAAAACCATTATTAATTTTCTTCAGGGACATTCAGTATTGGATGGTTCAGCTTTCAGGCTCTATTGTACTTCTGGATTATATTATTGTTCGGTGATTGGATCTGGCAATATTTAATAATGGTTTTAATGCGGACGTAATTGGATTTATTCATAAGGCTTCCTCAGTCGAAATGCAATGGCAACGCTGGCCAACGGGATAAATGTCTGTTTATTCTTTAACCGTCAGTCAAACCTCTTAATGAGAAATTCGTAACATGATTATGCAATAATTAATCACGACACTTTAAATGTATGACCTCTGGAGTATTGCACTCTGTTGGTGGCAAAAATATCCTTGTTCTATCAACACATATAGTTACTGTTAATTAAGCAGGAAAATATTATATATGAACAATATTGTTCCACTTTTACTTCCCACGCCTACTGGCGAGGAAAAAATCTAAAATGAAATATTTTTTTGAATGTCATATAACATGTACATCACGAAAAACTATGTGACACATTTCTGTCGGTCTGCCTGTCGGTCTGCCTGTCTGGCTGTCTTTTCGCTACATAAGTACAATTATGATTAAAAAATAATGTGTCACAATTATCGCTACTTATGTAGCCCTACATTTAACGCCGGCAATACACTTGAGCCGAGGCAAGCCGCGCACCGAAAGAGGCAGCCGAGATGCGCTAGTGGGCTAGTGCATTGATTCCCAAAGTGGTCTGTATCGACCCCTAGGGGTCTATGACAACCTGCAAGGGGTCTACGTCAGCGAAAAAAATTTGAAGGTCCATGAAGTGAATATGGGGGTCCACGATAGTGGATCTCAACACATACACTGATAGTACCTATTTACTTACATCATACTATCTTATAATATCAAAACATATACATTATTTAAAAAAGTACCTATGAAGTAAAAAATTTATTATACGTTATATGTTTACAAAATTGTGTAAGTTGTAGGATGTTGGTATTCGCTTTGTGGTCGCAATACATTTTGAACTTGTAAAAACCTGAGAGTCGCAGTCTCAGAGCTTCGCTACCTTGCACTGACTTGTTCAATTCGTCACTCTATAAATACGAATGTGGGATAAATACGTTTATTCGTTTCCTGAATCTTGAAAAGGAAAGTGCTAAGAAAATATTTTAAAAAATATAAACAGATAGTATATTACACAAATTATAGTGAGTCAGTGTTATTTTGTTTGAGAGTGCTGGAGAAAAGTAAGTACATTATTTTTTATTAAATTTTAGTTTTGTACTCGTAGTTAGCAAAGATAGATAAATTACGCCAATCATGACTTTAGTTATTAGTAGTTAAATATTCAATCATGCAAAATTACATGAGTACTCCTCAATAGTTTCTTTTTGAAAGTTTCAGCAATCGGTAATATAATTACAGCAAGAATATGTTCGAATTATGGAATGTTTTCGGAAAAATCAAAAAATATGTTTAATATACAGCTGCTGGATCTTCTATCTTATTTAAATAATTTAATTTTGCCCACAGATGACTGATGCATGTTCGAATCTAAAAAGAAATGTAGACAGTACAGTGTTGATTATTTGAAATTTGGCTTCATTCCATCATTGCCGGACAAACAATCGCCTATGTGCCTTTTATGCAACAAAGTTTTGGGCAATGACGCTATGAAACCATCTAAACTGCAAGATCATCTGAGAATATGCCACCCTCATAAAAGAGAGAAAGATTTGAAATACTTTCAAACACTCAAAGATAAATTTCAGAAGAGACCTACACTGGACAGAATGTTCGCTTCGACGTCACAAAGAAATGATGATGGTTTGCGGGCGTCTTACAATATCTCGTTACTTATAGCAAAATCCGGAAAACCGCATACTATCGGAGAGAAGTTAATTTTGCCAGCCGTTGAAGAGGTTTTAAAAACTGTTTTACACAAACCTGCATCTGATACCAAAGAATTCCCTTAAGCAACAATTCTGTTGAAAGACGTATTGACGAAATGAGTTCTGATATTGAAAGCTTCTTATGTAATTATTTGCAAACGACCCATTTCTCTATACAACTGGACGAGTCAACTTTGCTGATAATGCAGCATTATTATTGGCATATGTTCGTTTTATTATGAATCAAGAAATCTACGAAGAACTGCTCTTCGCAAGAACTTTGATAACCGACACTAAAGGTGAATCAATATTTCATGGTTGGACGTTATCGTGGATTTATAAGCTATTTAAAACAAAATGTGTCAGGGGTGTTAGCAATACATTGCGTCATCCATCGACAATATTTAGTTGCTAAAAATTTGAGTGTTAGATTGCATGAATCACTTCATTTAGTCATTGATGAAGTAAATAAACCGAATCCGAAGCAACGCGTTGAATACGCGGTTATTTGCGCAGTTGTGTGAAGAAAATGACGAACACTTTCATCAACCACTCCTTCACACTGAAGTACGCTGGCTATCGAAAGGCTTATGTTTGACAAGATTTTTTGCACTTTTTGAGACTATTTTAGAATTTCTTGATACTAAAGATAAAATTTTAAAAGAAAATTTAATGAAGAGGAAAACAGACATCGCCTATTTAACAGATTTGTTTACAAAATTTAATATGGTTAATTTGCAATTACAAGGCGACAGTTTAAATTTGATTGAAACAAAGTCCATCTTATCACCGTTTCTTGCTAGAGTTAAACTAATGAAGCAAAATATTGGACGGGGCGAATTTTCTCAGTTCCCCAATTTGTCACAGACAAGCTGCCAGGAAGACGACGTTTCAACTAGCGTTCAACATTTAAATGCCCTCTATTCAGATTTTGAATCTAGGTTTGAGGATATTTTGACTATGGTAATACCACCGTGGATAATTAATCCATATGGAGACATAGAAGAAACGAATGTCATAATACAAGAGGAACCGACTGAACTAAGTACAAGCGAAGAACTTAAGGTTCAGTTTAAAAACGGATATCAGCAATTCTGGCTGCAAAACTACATACCCGTTACTTATCCCGTATTATGGAATATAGCGAGGAAATTTTTAATTTCCTTTCCATCGTCATACCTAGTGGAAAGGGGGTTCAGCGCTGTTACCAATCTTCTAACGAAAAAAAGAAACAGACTGGACATCATTAGCCGAGGAGATTTAAGATTAACCCTTACAAAATTGACGCCAAATGTTGATAATTTATTATTAAAACATCAGGTTCATCCTTCTCACTAAAAATATTGACTTATTGCTTATGTTATTTTATTTATAGTTTATTTTATGTTTATTGGTGTCTGACCAATAAATGCCCGCATTGGGAATAAGTGCCCACATTGATTTTTTTAAAGAACCCCCTTTATAGAAAATATTTTTTTTAAAAAATTATTCTGAAAATTCAAGGATAGGTACACACTAAAATTCGTTATTTTTTTGCCTATTTTTATATAACTTAAACGTATAAGAAGCGGAATTTAATCAAACTAACAGTGAAATTATTGTAGAACATACGTTTATGTTATAATTAATAAACGAACTCGCTTATTGTACTATTTTAAGAAAACAACTTTTTTTTAGTATTTTTCACTTTTTTTTATTTTATCCCTCTTCAAGTGATGAAAATAAATGAGGATAAGATCTACTTGAAGCGGCAGAGAGAGCCAGATCAACCTGGCCATTTATCTGGGGTGGACAAGAAATTAGACATAAAAGAAGCTATTGATGACATCCATTCCCGAGCTAGTGAAGGGCAACTAACGGGTTTTGGGAGGACGTCAGACCATATTTCCATTTGTTATATTTGCACTTGGTCCTATATAATAATAAATAAGTTTAACTCTTCCCCGATAATTCTGACTGTAAACGGACGATCTGAACCAATTCCCGGATTCTGTCAATATTTTCAACGGTTCTTGAAGATGAAGGCCTTCCGCTTCGTTGTTTATCTTCGACTTTTTCCTCTCTGAAAATGCCTTAAACCACGGAAAAACCTTGGCTCTTGACAAAACACTATCTCCTTAGGTCTGTTTAGCAAGAGTTTCTATTGCACTGTGCTTAAGTCTGAAGCAAAAACTGATAGCACTCCGTTGCTCGAAATTGATGTCACCCAGTTTCAGAACACAATAGGTAAAACTGTTCCACAAAAAAAATCGCTGCGGACAGCAAAATTACTCGAGGAGTTCAAACTTCATACACTACGTTTCCAGTATCATTCTTATATTACAGACCTCGTAAGTTATTGAAATCAGACAGCTTAAAACGCCATATACCAGGTAGTAAGCTAATTGAGCACATACCAAATGTATTTGATGGTGATGACCCCCTCCTCGTCTTCAGTTTCCAATCGCCGATAACCCCGAGGCGCTTATCTAACTGGTCACAAATACTAAACACTCACCGTCCTCCCCAACCCCCTTAAAAAATTTCAAATTCATCAGATGAACCGTCTCCCATATTTTCTTCTAGATCCGGCCCTGGTGGATACATACATCTTCGCTAGGCTTTTGCCGCTCTTTGCAAATTATATAAAAAGTACCATGGCTCTAAATCGTCTAACACCACAATTATCTACAAACCCTAGCACTTTTAAGAACTAACACTGAATATACGAATACAATAACAGAATTGTCAAAAAAGTAACTTATGTCAAGGGCACTTTGATTGAAACTGCAGAACATGAGATTTAGGAGACAAATAAATATTTGACTGGCTTCGTCTACCTAGTCCGAATTTATTGGTTTGTAACCAAATTTAGCTAGTCAGTGGTCATGTTGCAAGTTCATATTACAGGTCGATCAGGCTTAAGCCGCAAACTTAACAGTTGCTGACATCTCGTATAAAATTCATACTTTTCTGCAAAAGCATATAAAAGTGCGTGGATTCCCTACAATCCTAATGTCGCAGACAGTTGGCGAATAACATAACACCAATGTTTCTTTTCGATGAGTGTTTATACACTGAAGTAATCGGCGTGGCGAAAGGGCATGTACCTCAACATTGGGCTTTCACCTGGACAGTTGTGAGGTAATTTTGATTTGCTTTATTTCATTTCTTGTTTCATTGATCACTCAGACCCAATCTAAGGTTTGTTGACAGAAATGTATAACTAACAACAACATTGAAAATGCAAAATATTGTCAAATCCTTAATCTAATTAAATTAAAGTAAAATTTAACTTCATCTACTTTAATTTTGAATCCGTAAATTCTTAGGAAAGGTACTTTCGCGATATAAGTCGTAATTTTACGATCTCATTTTAGTGCCACGGGATTCTATGAACGCCCAAAAAACTATGAGTATTTAAATTTATTAAAATACTTCCATATCTGTTTATTGGATAAGTGAGAGTAATATAATAGCTGGAATTTTCATATTATGCTCAACTAGGTTTTTGCTGATAGCAAAGAATCATCTCGATCACGACAGCTATTTAAAAAAGCCGAGTAAAGCCACACAGCAGCAAACAATGCATTGTAAACGTATAGGCTTGGTTCCTTCTAATCTCTTCAAATTTGTGAGTTAAACACGAGTGCAAGGATAGTTCTGCTAGCTAGCTTAAATTTTCACAAATACTCATTAATTTGTTGTCTAACTTCAGTCCACAGCCAGTGGACCGTCTCATTTATATATTATAGACCTAAGGTAATGACACCCCCTAAAATTTGCAATTAAAATGTGAAATGAGCGATGTATTAAATTTGTAAATTTCCGCCGCGGAAAGCTCAGCGCTTTTCTGCGATGATTCATGATGCTGTGATATTAAAAAGTAATTTATATGTGTGTGCCCTGCCTTTTATTTGCTCTTTCTTGTTTCGTTTTTATTTTCGTACTTGCTTCATAAAATAGAATTTATTCCCGTTTTATGCTATATTTTACCAACAAAATGACAATATTTTTTTGCGGGCCGTATTCTGTTCAGAATTATTTCCATTTTAATGAATTTTTTAAATTAAAATCGCTACGCTATATGCAAATCGCATTATGTACCAGAACGAAAAAAGCTTTTGTGCTTTTTACTGGCTGCATTATAATTATCTTACAGGGTCATAATTCCGCGCTGAAAAAGCTAGAAAAAAAATGAAATGCTCGTTTCAGCCTTTTTTTGCTTGGCTTTCACACTGTGTCCACATAAAAGTGCTAGAGTATGTTATTTTATGTATGCAAAATGTAGAGTCACACCTCGGACAGACCAGCCCGCAAAGTGCTATTTACAATGGATTCATTCGGTACTCTACATATTTCGGTTGCAATCAACTAAGTAATTTCTAAAGCAACAAAGTAACGTGATTGCTGCCATTTCCGCCATAACTAGCTCGCCACAAATATGTAAAACTTAGATGGGATACTTTCGTTACTTTGGTACCGTCTTTCTCTTTGACGATTTTCGAAAAACACCCATTTTTCATAAAGTAAAGTAATATCTGAATCTTTCTTAAACTATAGGAGCCGTTACTTCTACGTAACATCTCGCTGTCATTGTTCACCTATGAAGTTAACAAATCCGTTAATTCACACTATGCCAGTGGAGAATGTAGAACTGTAACATAATAAATGCTCCTAGTATACTTGAAAAGTTCGACAGTCTAGGAGTAAATGTTGAGGAAATCCATGCATGCGCTAATGAGAGCTACCTATTGAGCAATTTTGTTGATTAAGAAGCTTGATATTAGACCTTTACTTCCTATGCCAAAACTGCCGAGGAAGTATTAGAATACCGAAAAATGTCGAAATTGAGAAATAGACGTTATATGACATGTACATCACGAAAAACCATGTCACTCATTTCCGTCAGTCTGTCTGTCTGTCGATCTGTCCGCTAATTTTATAACCGACTAGAGCTTCAGAATTACCGCTCGGATTTTGATGAAATTTTCACACAAGATTACTGCTATGCCAAGGATAAAAAAGCTAAAACACGAAGGAAAATAAAAACAGCTTAAAGTTCGTCTTTTGGCATTTCCCAGGCTCTAGATCACTTTTGGAAACAAATTTGTAGCGATTGAAACTTGTGGGTTGGGTATTGTAGGGGGTATGGTATTGTAGTATGATTCAACGACATTTTATGATTAAGAACCTTTTGATCCCTGACACAACGGGAAAATCAAATGATAAAAGTCCAATGTATAATGTGCTCATAATTCGAAATAACTTTGCAATCGGTGGTGTTGCGTACACGGCGCGATGCTGCATTGTCACGAAAACCACTGCCGGCTGTGCAATGGGTAACAAACTCCAACTGGTCTGCGGTGGTGGCGTCACTGACACACCGCTACAGGAGAAATATTTATATATTTTACCAATATTTGGATATTAGAGTACCTCACCTTATCGTTCTGCGACGCTTTTGTGAATGATGACCCAACTGTTTTTATATCTACACATCTTCTGAATTTAATGATCCTTAAACGTAACGCCCATTTCGGCTAACCTTTAGTTTGTGTTACTCTATGCTCACTGATATAGAACAAACACGAACTGTCAAACCGATATAAATGAGGAACAAGGACTTGTGTGATACAGATATCTTTAAGCAACAGAAAACATGTGAACAGGAATTAGAATATTACCGCTAGTTTAATACTTCCATCGTTTAGGTAGTCGTAGATTTTGAAAATTGACTCACAGGCGGCGGAAATTAAATCGCTGGAACATCGGGTTACGATTCCTGCTCATTTTCAGACATACTTTTTAGGGGATGAAAAGTGTAGGTTGGAAACTGTATGCGGTAAATGGTTGTAAATTGTTTCATATTTGTTGTCAGAGAACCTTCTATTACAAAGAAGCTGCGGATTTCAGTGATACTATGCACCTGTTACACATAATTAATAACCCCTATTTCACCTACATTTGCAACGGAAACAGAAATATGATAGGTTTGCTTTATATAGTTTGATGTGCAGATGTCGAAGGTTCAGCGTACCTAAGTGAACCTACCAAATCACGATTCGATTTCGGCTTTTGAATCGATTTGACTCATCACTTTCCTTTAAAACCTCAAAGTCGTAGAAAGTACAGAGTCAATCAACTCG